GCGTAGAGCACGCTCATTGCTCATGCAGTGTTCCCACCTGTTGTGAGCCAAACTGCGAAGACGCCGGTGGTCGAAATCATCTAGCCTCTTTAAGTTAGCTGAGCTAAGAGGCCAGGTTTCGCAACCGTACAGTAGGGTCGAACATATCGCTGCATTGTACATGCTACCCTTCAGGGCCAGAGTGATGTCCCGCGGACCCCATAAGTGGCGAAGGTTAGCAAAACCGCCTCGTGCTTTTGCTATGCCGTCCTTGATCTCATCCTCGATCCCACGGACGCTGATACGTCTCCCAGGTAGTTAAAATTCTGAACGACTTCTAGCTAAGCCCCACAAATATTCAACGCAAGAGGCAATCCCTGTCAACCTTGGAGGAAAGCATTGCACTTGGTGGGTGCAAAGCAAAGCCCGAAGCGGCTGACAGTCAGTGTTAATCTGTCCAGTGCAGCTTGACACGTCCGGGGTCTGTCACAAGTGTGGGCAATGTCGTCTGGCTATTCCAACTCAAGAGAAGGTTCTCCTAGGAGTAGTTCCACACCATCTAAGTCGTGTTCTATGAAGGTAATCTCCACTACTTCGTCATTAGCGTAATTGAAGTGGAAAGGTGCCAGCGGACATCCTTGTCTCACACCGCTGGAAATATTGAATGGAGGCGACAGGTTGCCGTAAGCTCTCACTCTGCCCGTATTACGCGCATATAGTGCGCGGATAGTATTTGCATACTTCTCGGGCACACTTTTCCTGATTAGACAGTCCACTAAATGTTATTAGCATACAACGATGGCGGAGGTCTTAGGCAACTGTTCTCATCATCGAAAAACACATTCCAGAATGTGGAGAATAGATTCACATTGTATAGTATCGTATAGTATTGTATAGCTTTTTTGGGCTTGTTTGATAATTAAACGCGCAGTGAGTTAGGTCACCGGTGTTCAATTCTGCCCGTTCAGTTACTTTATATATCAATGTGATTGACAACAGTTACCATGTGATACCCACTATGAACGTTGTGCCAGATCATCATTATTGTATACTTATATTGCGGTGTTGGCTAAAAAACAGTGTTTAGTAAACACATTGGACCGCTTCAACTTTGCGATCAAAGATGTCCTGTTAGGAGCTATAGAAGTGTTGCATAGTTTTTGCATCTAGTTCTTCCCAGGTTATCGCCCAACCGACTTACACTACACAGATGATATTGCTTTGCTGCGTTTGCAATTGCTCCTTGACCGACTGGTGTTTGAAGCGTCTCGGTATGGTATTTGCTACCCCTCCAAGTGTACCGTTTTGTTACAGGACTAACAATGGACCCTACAAAGCTAGTTATCAAAAGTATACTGATCGAACGCGTGGACATCTCTGCCTACTTAGTGAGCTGCATTCTTACCGACGGCAATATTGGACAGGATGTATCCTTTGGTATCTCAAAGTCCAGTCAGCTTTTGCTAACCTGCAGTATTTATCTAGTCTTCGAGACATTCCGTTGCCGTTAAAGGGCAGGGTCTACCATGTCAGTGTCTGCACGGTGCTGTTGTGTGACTACGAATCCTGGTGGCTCCGTGTAAACGAAATGCGTAGATTCACAGTCTTTGAGTGTGGCTGCTTGCGGAGGATCGTCTTTGTATGATGGCAATGTCATTTGCGCAATGTTGTTGTCAGACTTTAACGCGCGCGACATGGAAATACCGGCAACAAACGGTACGCAGTTTAAAGCCTGCTTGCAAGAGTTATTTGCTAGCCACCCTCTGTACAACCACGTAACCATTCCCACCAGATTTCTAAATGCTAACAAGCCGTCGATACTGGATCGTGTACCAACTAACAAAGAACTTGGTTGACGGGATAGTTACGAGCACATCACTGGGTCGTAGTGATCAAGTTACTCTACTCTTTGACTATATATGCTATGCGGAGTACTCTGAAAAGGAGGATGATAAAGTGCATACTGTCATGCATTACAATGTGTTACCTAAGCATGTTAAGGATACATCTTGGACTTTCTTAACAGAATCCCCCCCAGATGTTGCCTGGGAAATCTTTACAAGGACGTTTAGCACACTGGTTGTGCACGCATCGGAACATAATTCCTTCAGACCAAAAACAAGCATAAGTCATTTCTGAGGGGTAGAACATGTAAATGTATGTTCCGGAGGGATTTGGCATGTCGAGATCAACAGGACTGTTCGAATGCCGAAACCTGGACTGCATAAGTGACACGTCGCAACTTCTGCGTAAAACTGATCTGCGAGGACAAGGGCACGCATCAGCAGGAGTTGATGAAACGATTCTGCATGAACCGCAAACTCCTGTATAGGCACCTTAATGGTCTTCGAAAGGTGAAGCGGAGGATTCCAGCAATAGTCACGGCTGATAAGTGCACGCGATTAGCATTGGAAGCAGCTGATCTCCTACGGCTTCATTACTCCCGAACTTGCCAACAGGTAACGAGCAATAACATTCTCCTCATTTCTATTACTCCCCCATCTGGTTTAGAAAGCGTCACCTTCACTGCGGAAGCTGTGTTGAAGAAGTTGTTATGCTTGCGTATCCACAGTTCTCCCGGAGCCGACAACATCAGACCAAAAGCTCTGCAGGTGGTAGCTAGTGATCTAGCAGAGCCCCTGGCTGTTTTCTATCAGCGGTGTTTAGAACAGAACCGTATTCCACCAGTATGGAAGCGAGAGGTCACCACTCTTATCCATAAAGGAGGTAGCGGCACTGACCCTTCCAACTACCGTCCAATAACGCTACTTTCTGTGCTCTCCAAACTTATTTAATCAATCATCGCAGATGCGCTGATGAAAAAGCTGGTGAGATACAACTTAATAGCTACAGAGCAACATGGCTTTCGTCAAAAGCATTCGTGCAATACTAACCTAATAACTGCACGTAATAGCTGGACTGAAGGTGTTGATGATGGAGCAGGAGTCGATGTCATCTACCTGGACTTTTCAAAAGCGTTTGATCGCTTAGACTATCGCATTCTCCTTCAGAAGTTTCGGAACTACGGCATTGGCGACCCAATCCTGAGTTGGATTAGCAATTTTCTACACGAACGACGGCTAGTGGTGAGAGTCCGAGAATCATTTTCTCATGCAATCCATGTGGCGTGTGGAGTACCACAAGGCTCGGTTCTTGGACCTCGTCTATTCTTGGTGTTCATTAACGGTTTGGCGAGATCAATTGCTTCCGATTTCCTACTTTTCGTTGATGATATCAAGCTATGGCGAAGGACCAGAGGTGCGGACGACCACGAACGGCTCCAGCACGATCTTAACACAGTGTCGAACTGGTCAGTTCAAAACGCCCTACCATTCAACGTAGACAAATGTCGCGTTGTACAATTACGCCATAGACATAACTACACCTATTTACTTGGGACAAACGGATTGCAGACCAGCTCCCAGGAACGTGACCTTGGTGTGCTCGTACAGAGCGACCTCAACTGTTCAAAACAGGCTGAGGTAGCTGCGAAAAGAGGCAACCAGCACGTCGGCATGCTGCGAAGAGCATTCGGGAGATTTGACCCATCGATCTTCACAATGATGCACAATTCCTACGTGCATCCGCATGTTGAATACGCTATCCAAGCTTGGCATCCTTAGATGAAGCGCGATCTAGAAGCCATAGAAGCACCACAAGGAAGAGCAACAAAGAAAGTAAAGGGCCTGCGCTATCACTCTTACCACCGAAGGCTGAAGTTGCTGGGAATTTTCAGCGGACGCTATCGAAGGCTGCGCGGTGATCTCATATTAGCTTATCAGATACTGAGTGACTCCAACCACGTATGCCGCCATTTGCTGAAACTTAGCCACAACACGCAGCTCAGGGGTAACTGCTTAAAATTGAAGGAACAACATAGCCGTCTAGAGTGTCGACGGAATTACTTTTCCCTTCGGGTTTGCCAACCCTGGAACGCACTCCCAGACTCAGTTGTATCCTCTCCTACCTTGGATGTTTTCAAAAAAACGATTAGATGTTGCTCTTAGATCCTAGCATTTTGTTACCTAAACTCCTTTATTGTGAATTACGCCAAGCCTGCTTTTCAACCGTATTTATGCATCAAGTGGACCCAAGTGAGCGGTCATATTTTACTTTTCTCACGCCTTATATCAACGACCACTGCACCCCAGTGTCTTTCTGAACGTTTACGCTCGATTTTATTTTAAATTTTACACTAATAATTTCTCGAAGTATCCATCTAGGCAGACGTTCTGTTGATGATTCGGATATATTTTGTGCTCATCATATTCACCTTAATCATCCCACGGGACGTGTCACGCACTTGCTTTTATCCCGTGATAAATCATCGCTCTTTGTCCATTGTTCATTGTTCCCCCATGTGAGCTGGCTCTGCTTCGCTTATTTTGATAGATAGGTCGCATCTTACGCAGGCCTAAGGAGCGTTTGACAAGTCTTGCTATATTCGTGCTCTCAGGGCTACATTTGATGAGTCTACGGTGGGGCCAGTCGACGGCTTGTCGACGCAGCATGAAAACACTTACATCTTGTCTAGACATCGCCGGTCCAGTTTGTCTAGCCGGTTGGGAACCTAAAGATGAAGAATGCAATCGGCTCGAAACGGTCCATGGCGAAAAACCAGATACAATGGAAGCAATGCAACCAAGTTTGCGTGCCTTCTCAATTAAAACAATCAATCGCATGAAAGCTAGAAAAAAGGTGAAAAGTGGTGTGTGAAAAGTGAGCAAATACCAATGTTCTTTTTCACCTAATTACTGGTCCTTTTTCTAAATGAAGCTTATTTCGCTCCTTTTCGCTTATTCCAACTCTATGGTTTTGAACGGACCGATGTCTATTCCAAATGACTGCTGTCCATTATTTTCTTGCCTATCAGGTGAAATTGGTTTATAGTTGAAAAAAAGATAACTAAATAATATGTTATAATAGTGGTAAGGACATAAAAAGTTGGTAAACATTATAGTATAAAATATAGCACCTGGAAGTTACACTAAGTCTCCCAAGTAAGTAAAAGTTTGACTCACTGCGGACGTTTCGTAATAAGTGATGTTAAAAGATTTGGCAAGCTCGGTAGCTTCTTCGGTGGAAATACGGCGTCTTAGTTGCAAATCTGACTTATTTCCAATTAGAACAGCTTTCAAAATCTAAACGTCTTCAACGCAAATTACTTGGTGGTAAATTCACCCGCGAGGGTGTTAACCATTTTGCAAGGATGGATTTCGCGTTCTTGAAACTTGAAGTATCCGTCAGGTCGAAAACGACGATCAGCATGTTTATGTGATCAACCTGGGGTGCACATTAATTCACTGGGAAAAGCTCTTACATATGCGTCAGCTAAAGTACTGAAAACATCTTTGCCAGGCAGGGTATATATGAATAGTTCCTATTTGTACAAATAAATTTAAGAAACCAAAGAAAAAAACTTACAACGGTGTCATTTACTTCGGGAATGATCACATTTTTTACAACCAACTCAGCGGATACTGACTAAGCAGTAAGTTAATAATTTGTCAATTAACCGTTTAAACATGTGTTTACCATGCAATAATTTCGTGGGAAATCTGCTCCATCACTGGCGAATGACTGTACAATAGCAGACTTTCCGACAGTTGAAGCTCCTGAAGATTTAAAGAATTGTTATTGACACTCACCCAGAACAACGCATTTGCCTCGTAAAACTTTTGGCATTTCTGTAACGGATACGGATGCGATTAAGGCCGGAATTAAATCCGGAGTTCTGAAATGGAGAAAAATTAGCATCTAGTCGAAGTGAAATAACATAAGACAGACAAATCAGTTCATGATCAAACTGAAGCTGAATACGCCATAAATTTTTATCGCATTAACTTCGCTTAATCAATTCCTGTTGCAAGGAGATAACAGGCTAAGCACTTAATATACTCCGGTAATCCTTCCCTTTAAGTAACGTCCATATTCAGCAGTGTCAGTAGGCAGGCAAAAGATCAAAACCTTTTGGAATCAGCAAATAGAGAAAATTAAGAGTTAGAGTAGTTTCCTTTAACTCGAGATTTTTAGCTATTCGCTCATGCGTCATGGGCTTTGGTCAAATAGTCAACTAACTTGTTAGTCTTTGTGGAACGGATTCGATTTCTTTATATCAGTGCTGCATTTGAAGCTTTCCCTCATGCAATCCTCAAAGAAAGCGGACAGAAATATGCCTTATCCATGTAGTACGTGATGGGTAAGATCCGCATACACCATTTTAACCCTAACTTCTACTGCTTGGAATTTGAATCACGTCACTTGACCCGACGTAGTTGGTCGAGGGAGATTAGTGTGTTTTATTCCACTAGATTTCAATACCTGGCCTCTTATTTATCTATAACGTCTTCTTCAGGATAGTTCTGAGTTAGTCTGTCTTTAGATGGCCATCAATGTCGGACCTCAGTCAGTCTAGTGACCACACTTCATGGCTTTGTACTCAAGTAACAAATCTGGTGTTAGATGATTGGCCGACTCTGATAACACCAAATGCGTGTCATTGATAATTTGTATAGAATATATCAGCCAAATTTAATCAGTATATTTAGACGCCTGATTTGTTAACACGGACATGCATGCGGTGCTTCCTGGCTGAATACCCTCGCCAACCAATGGATGGACGGAAGTGCATGTGTAATAGGATCGTAAGAACTCACCAGCGTCCGTGATTGGTATGTAAATAGATATGTCGACCTTGAAGCGTCAAAAACCTATTCGTTGAGGTTGTAAATGATATATGCAAGTTTGTGTGTGCGCGTGCGCAGAACCCTTTACTTAGCACGCTACAAACTACACTCAGGGCATCGGTTGACTGTGGGAAAATAAAATTCTTCTACCATGCAACCGTCAGTCATAGTTCTTTCAGGCCTTACTATATAGCACCAGGCAGTACCGGTGAGACTACTTTCATGTTTGATTAAAGCAGGTCTTGCGTTCCCCATCTTCAAATTCCTGATTGCAACATCACAGAATTTGTAAAGGCCAAATTGACTTAAACTTGTGCCTCGTGGTCACAGTGGAAAAGTTTAGGCCATCAGGGTACTCAGCCCATACTGAGAATTCATTGAGGCTTATGGTACAAGTTGAGGAGCAAAGCTGTGTTCGTCAACTTAAAACCAATGTAGGTGAAATTTTTCAGAGTTTAACATGAATTACTAGTATCGGCGCCTCGCAACATACAGATGTCGGGCCTGCCTCTGTATGTTTACAACATCACATCAAAGCGATTGTCCCCAATCATCGACAGGAAACAGGCTGCTACTCTAAAAGCTACTAATGAGCATACCTACGAATTCATGCAGCAGTCTTAAACCCAGCTCACCCTTAGAGCAAAAGATGTTACTAATTACATTGTGTGCTGTTACTTTAGTTGATCTGCTGCATATCCGGATGGCAAATACCGTGGTCAAGAATCAGCAGTTGGTAAAACGGACCATCTACGGAATTTGGTAGTCAGTTGTCAAAATTAAATCAATAAGTAAATGTTACTCACGAGTAGCAGGATTTTAGTTGCATTTCTGTTAAGGTTCTCATCCCAATAGTTCACAAGTTACATAGCAGAGACTAGTCGGGAAAAGCGCCAGACGTGTTTCGCCCTATTCGGGCTCCTCAGTGGTGCGCATTCTCTCGGTCCTCTAAGGAGGATCGAACCCGTGACCGCTAGAGACAGATGCCAACTAGCCAGCAGCTAAAGCCACTGAGCCATAGGAGACGTTGACTGGACAACATAATTTGCAAACTAACTGGGACATAGCACCACCCATCTACCACTGTCACTGATAGTGGTTAGCCTGCGGGGTGATGAAGTCCTCCCACTAGACGCTATATCCATAGCATTTGAACTATTGCGATGAAAGCCTTATCAGAAATACAACTGAAATCCTGCTACTCGGGAGTAATATAAAAGCAATACAGCCTCTCCTATTTTCAAATGCTATGGATATAGCTTCTAGTGAGAGGACCTCATCACCCCGCTGGCTAACCACTGTCAGTGACAGTGGTAGATAGGTGGTGCTATATCCCAGTTAGTTTGCAAATTATGTAGCCCAGGCAACGTCCCGCATGGCTCAGTGGCTTAAGCTGCTGGCTAGTTGGCATCTGCCTCCAGCGGTCATGGGTTCGCTCATCCGTAGAGGACCGAGGGAATGCGCGCCACTGATGAGCCCAAATAGGACGAAACGCGTCTGGAGCTTTTCCGGACTGGGTTCTGCTAGGTAACTTGTGAACTATTAGGATGAAAGCCTTATCAGAAATAATTGTTTTATTCACCGAAGTGCATGGCTCGCCTGTCAAGGCATGATTATGATAGTACAAACAGGTATTGTCGGTACTTTTATAATATTATTGCAAGTTAACTAGTACGACACTGGATTTATGTGTATGTATATATGTATGCGTATGTGAGCAAAGTCTTGGGAATCGAAGGCAGTTGATCGGCGTGAATGATGCGATCTGATCACGCAGTTGCCAAAGTGCAGCAGAAAACCCTCAAGCATACGACGAAGAAGTGGCAGTTGCGGAAGGGGCAGGCGATGATGGGTTGTACTCCATCGACATGGAGCGCATGGTGCCGTTGCACTTACAGTCGCGAGTGTCTGAGTCAGGCAGGCCTAGTGAGCCATGAGTCAGGCCACTCGGAGCAACCACGGAAACTACGATGAGTCATGCGGCGAACGCAGACAGGACCGGCGCAGCGTTTGTAGGTATGCTGCACTCGATTTACTAACCTCGCGATTGCATGCTGTCTCTTTATTTCAGGCGGTGGGTTTGCTATATTGTCCTAATGCTTTTGTTATCCCACATTAATTCGTACCTGAGCTATCTTTTATTATGTTACACATGTCTTTTAAGCTAATTGTGGTTAACTTCCATTGCATTTTCGCGTTTGTGGCATTTTCTTAAAATATAATTCCTGACGTCTTGAACCTATCGCGGATTGGTTCGTAACCAGTTTATTTTATATGCTCATTTGGTGCAGAGTTATGTCACTATATCTGTATGAATTATTTGGTTTATTTTATTTGATATCATCCTCTCAACTGATTGACTGTTGGTCGATATCCCCGCTGTGGTTGCGCTTAATGTGTATGTTGACGAAGTGCCTACCTGTGTATTACCCAGTACCACTTCCATACTGGCCCCAGGAGACAGCTGATGGTTGCTGGAGGGGACGAGGTGTGCGGTGTCTATCAAAGCACGCTGTCATGCGAGTTGGATAAACGCTCACTGGATGCAATTGAAGCTCACTGGTCTCATACTCACTAGACCTTACTAGCAGCAGGAAAATCCTCATGTGGTATGTCTAATCGCTAATTTGGACATTGGGTCTCTTCACAGTCTCTGGAACTTATCGATGCTCGTCGGCATATTCTGGCTGGAAACGAACGCAATGAAACTCGCAAAGAGCTCCGGGCAAAACTCCGTGCTAGCCTGAAGAGAGACCGCGAATCTTGGTGGTCTCATTGTGCATCAGAGATGGAAATGGCCGCTACATCTGGTAACCATCGTAACTTATTCCGTCTGATACGGAAAACGGGCAGCAGGAGACCTGGTGTTAGTTAAATTATACGTGGTGAGAGTGGACAGCCTATCCACAACTTATCAAAACGCCTGGAACGTTGGGCTGAGCAGTTTGAAAGGCAATTTAATTGGTCGGAATTGTTAGATTTCTCGCTGGCCACCGATCGCCCCGCTCCGTGGGCTGTCCGTTTGGATCCACCTCTCTCTCAGAAGTCGAACGTGAGATAGGACTGTTAAAATTACATAAAGCCGCTGGACCAGATGATCTTCCTCCAGCCCTCTTCAAATTCGGGGGACCTGCTCTTGTAGATGATTTGTACGAGTTCCTAGTGAAACTGTGGAGCAGGAAACTGTCCCAACCGACTGGAGCCGCTCCGTCATAGTCCCAATTTTCAAGTGAGGCTCACGATCGGAATGCAGCAACCAAAAAGGAATCAGTCTGATCTCTATTTCCTACAAAGTGCTTGCCTCTGCCATCCTTCACAGACGGACTGGCACTCGTGAAAACCAGATTCGTGAAGAGCAAGCGGGATTTCGTCGAGGTCGTGGCTGCATTGACCACATCTTCATCTTGCATCAGTTGTTGGAACACCGTCACATATATTGGCGGCCCACCATTGTCCTGGTCCTAGATACCAAAGCGGCATTCGATTCGGTGGATAGACTTGCACTTTGGGACTGTGTATTCAGGAAAGGTGTATCTGAGAAATATGTTAATATTACCCGAGCATTATATGCGCGTAGCTCGGGCAGAGTGAGGGCTTACGGCAAACTGTCGTCACCCTTTAATATCTCCAGAGGTGTGAGACAAGGATGCCCGCTGTCACCTTTCCTCTTCAACTTCGCTATTGGTGAAGTCATAGAAATCGCGTTCACAGGACACGACTTAGAAGGTGTGGATCTGCTCCCAGGAGAAAGACCTCGACTTAGAGTATGCTGACGAGATTACCTCAATCTGTGACAACTCCAAGACGTGCCAAGCGGCACCAGACAGCTTAGCACTGGCTGTCAGCCGCTTCGGGCTTAGCTTTGCACTATCGAAATTCAAAGCGTTCCTCCAAGATTGGCCCTGACCGCCTCCTACGCTAACCCTTTCTGCGGATCAGCTAGAAGTCGTTGAGAAGTTCAACTATCTGGGAAGTTGTATCAGCGTCCCTGGGTTGAGG